TCCCTCTATCAAGATATCTTTCCTTCCTCCCCTCTCTGTCCTTCCCCCAATTAACCTTCTTATTCCACCAAGTTCTCCTCCACTCCCCTCACTCTTCCCTTCCACCTTCCCCCTCCCCCATGTTTCCAGTTTACTCAAGAGATCTTGTCTATTTCCCCTTCACAGGGGGTTCTATGTGTGTCTCTCTTAGGGTTCTCCTAGCTTTTCTGGGGTTGTAGACAGGTTATCCTTTGCTTTATGTCTAATATCCACTTATGAGTGAGTGCATACCATGTTTGTCTTTCTGCGTCTTGGTTATCTCACTCAGGATGGTTTTGTCTATATCCATCTACTTGTCTAAAAATTTCAAGATGCCATTGATTTTATAGCTGATAAATACTCCATTGTGTAAATGTACCACATTTTCTTTATCTGTTCTTCAGATGAGGGACATCTAGGTTGATTCCATGTTCTGGCTATTATGAATAATGCTGCTATTAACATAGTTGAGCAAATGCCCTTGTGATATGAGTATACAGCCTTTGGGTATATGCCCAAGAGTTGTATTTCTGGGTCTTGAGGTAGATTGATTCCCAGTTTTTCTAATAAACCGCCATACTGATTTCCAATGTGGCTGTACAAGTCTGAACTTCCACCAGCAATGGAGGAGTGTTCCCCTTACTCCATGTCCTCTCCAGCAAAAGCTGTCATCAGTGTTTTTAATCTTGGCCATTCTGACAGGTGTAAGATGGTATTGCAGAGTTGTTTTGATTTGCATTTCCCTGATAACTAAGGATATTGAGAAATTTACTAAGTCTCTTTCAGCCTTTTGAGATTCTTCTGTTGAGAATTCTCTGTTTAAATCTGTATGCTGGGGTTATTTCTTAGGGGAAGGGAAGTGGGAAGAGAGACACAGCCAAATTTTTAACATACAAAATTGGGAGTGTGTGTAAACTGTATCATATCATTTCACCTTAGCCTGTGTTCTCTAGAAGCAAACTCTGAGGCAACAATGTGTTGCTGCTGATTTCCTGGGAGGTATATTCCCAGAAATTAAGGTATGAGATAATGAATAAGGAGCCATGTCAAACAGCTCACGGTAATATGCTGCCAAGCTAGCCACTGTTTTCTGTGTATCAGAGGCAGGCTGCTTAGGAGGTGTATTAAGCACATGGCTATCTTCAGTCAAACAACATCAGTTCATATTTTGGAATAGTATGTCAGAGTGAGGGAGGTATCAGAAGTTATCTTTCCACTTTCTGTTCCACTGACCAAAGTTCACTTCACAGGAAACCAACCTCTTCAGTGTTTCATGGGAAGGTCCACAGCACCTTCTCTCAACATCTTCCATGCTGACATTGGGGGCAATATAATATGAAATCAAATTATATGGATTTCTTCTTACAAAGCTATTCAAGGGTCTTTTGCTTTGTTTTGTTTTATAAGATGAATAAGGAATAATATTTCATTACCTTTAAGATAAACTTGTCCTTTTAGGGTTTTAGTTTGTAGAACTGAAAAGAAAGACATGGTGTAAACATGGATAGAGTTATTACAAATTGTGTGATTGGGGATAATGAAAATTCACAGAGTTCATCTAGTTCAATTAACTCATAACTGCTGATGAGAAAAGTGAAATTCAAGAGGGAAAGTTGTCTTGGAAAAGGTCATACAACTAATTAGTAAGAACAGAGTCCTGGAGCTAAGGAAAGATTCTGGGCTCTTCATCTCCATCAAGTATTTTTGGAGTTCATGAATTTACCTTACTGTTTTTTAAAAAAGATAATTTTGAGTTTTCATTTTTGAAGAGCATTCCTTATGCCTAGGTCCCCCAGATAATCACTTACTTCCAGAGCTCATCTATGATGAATTCTTCCTTTGTGAGGGGTGTACAATCCAGGTGAGCCACACACATGCACTTCATCCCACACCAATTAGTGCTAGATTCAAAAGGCAGTAGACTGTGCCACAAGGGTTCTATCTTTGTACATATTTGTTCAAAAGGTGAAAGGGAATGGAAAATTCTGTTCCCAGCAGTCGTTTGATTTGATACACAGCAATGAAGTTGTGATACAAACTTTATCTTCAAGTTAACAAGACAGTTTGGCTAAGTCAACATAAATTGACATTTACAGCAGTATCATACTCCTGAGAAGAATTTTAGATAAATAAGATGTCTAAGTAACCATGGTGAAAACCTCCTATCTTTTAACATTTAACAGGACCATGCCCAGCATATTAGTGTTCTCTATATTAAAACTAGGACAGTCAAATGCTGGAGCAATACACATGGTCCTTCTGTGAGCATATTCAATACTGAAGATTTAGTTGATGTAGAAAAACCATTTCTATAAATTTTTCTTGTCTAAATGTTACTAGTGTCATAGTTTTTCTTTTGCTTTCTTTCTTTTTTTGTTTCTCAAGACAGGGTTTCTCTGTGTAACAATCCTGGCTGTCCTAGAACTCACTTTGTAGACCAGACTATCCTCAAACTCAGTGAGATCTGCCTGCCTCTGCCTCCCAGGTGCTAGCATAAAAAGTGTGTGCCACCACCACCCAGCAGTGGCTTTTAAGTTTTAATTTGTGAAATGTTCTTGTCTTATAAGAACAAGGATAGCTTGCTCCCCTAATTTATATGTAGTTTAAAGCATTGAAATAAAAACAACACAATTCTATATGGAACAAATGTCTGACCATCTCTGAGGGCTATTGCTAACTTCTCGCTTTTCTCCAAGAGTGTTGTTACTCAGCAACAGACTTGGAGAGAAGATGCTTGGGTCTTCCATTTCAGAGGCCCAGGTACTGGCTCTGACTCTGGTCATAACTGTGTCATAGGTCATGTGACCTCCCTGCCCCTCAGTTTTTTTTCCTTGACATGTAGGAGATTGCAGGACACTCAAATACTCAATACCTATTGAAACAGGTAGAGTAATTAAGTAACATATTCCAGCTGCTTACACAGAGTTGGTAATGTTCACTAATTCAGGGAACATGTGTCCTGTATTCAAAATATCTGTATTTAGAATCCAGTTTTTATTTGGCAAAACACATAATCACATGCACATGCATGCATGCACAATAGCAAACACTCGTGTGCATGTGTGCTCACACAACACACACACACACACACACACACACACACACACACACAAACACACACACAGTCTATAGGTGTGATTCCATCTGAAAATTGCTAGTTTGCAATTTCTAGAGGAAGTCACCTTGAGCAAATGATGATGCCTGTGATGACTCTGAAGGAAAGGAAGCCAAATTTATCTACACAGTCTATGCAAAGTGGTCATGAGCTTGGAAGGGAAATGTCCGGGCTTGAGTGTATCCAGTGCTTTTCTGGGTATGACAATTCAGCATCCTATATAAGACTAAGGGAAGGAAGGGTCTGGAAAGTCCATGATCAAACTGAGCTGGGGGTGGGGAACAAAAAGAAACTAAGTGGATGAAAGACCCTTGTTGGTCCCAACTGTACCCAGCCAACATTCTGTCTGGATCACAATCCCTGTTCAGTCATCTAGTGTTCCACTCCTGACCCAAGCCAGAGTTATTCACATGCAGTATGGCCAGGCAGTGTGGGCTAGGCACAGTGCCAGAGCTGAAGAGGTCTCTAAAATAATTTTCATGTTCCTCCCTTCGTTAGATATTACTTTTGAGTGGTTGTTTTTCATTGATGCGATTTAACTTTCAGTTTACTCCAGGTGTTATTGACAGCTTAATTCTAATTACAATTGAATAAGGCATTTGATATTGTGTGGGCTTTTTTAAATTTTTTTTTTACATTTGAGGAGAATTAGTGATAGTATTTTGAATTGAATGTTGTATTGACAGTCGGTGATGTTTCTAGTGTCTATTCTAGCATTGGAAGGTGTATTCCAGAATTGTGCAGACTAATTTCTAGCACTCTTAATAATAGAATTTAGCATATGCCCTGTGTCTAGTCATAGTCAGTGTTAATGCTGTGCACAAAATAAAAGTAAATGTCAGACCTGAATTCAGTTTGTAAATTCTCATAAGAGAGACATTTGAATTCAGTGTAATCTTTAAAGACTTTAGGTACTGTTGTCATTATACTATTGTTTAAAAACAATTTACAACAAAGCAATAAATGACAGATTGAGGAGTGAAAAGGAGTAAGAATCTTTCCCTTATAGGTGTCCATCTCATTTATCATATATTGAGAACATTTACTTTAGCAATTAACTATTTTTTTAATTTTCATGACATTTTTTGGTGTGTGTCACAGCATATGAGTGGGTGCTAGATGACAATTTGTGGGGACTGGTTCTCTCCTTCTACTATATGGGTCCCAGAGTTGGAACTCAGATGTCCAGGTTTAGCATCTAGCATCTGCATCCACTGAGCAATCTTAACCAGCCCGCTTCTTGTTTTAAAGGTTTTTTCTTTATTCCCACCCTCTCTTTCTTTCTCTCCCCCTCTCTGGTTATTAGCCTGATGATCACTATATTCTCTGCTTCCTCAAAATCAATTGATACTTTTATGATACAAGTGCAAGGTGTTTTAACTGAAGAATGCCACATGTATCATGGCTTCCCAAATTATGCAACCCTGGGAGGGTACATTTAGATTTAGTGGGTGTACTATAAGTATAATTTTTAAAATGTAAAACTTACCCTCTCCATAGCCAATGTTCTATTTACTGTTCAATGGCTTTTATGAATAGTGGGGAGGGAATCACATAATGGCAACAGAGGCATAGAAACTCAAGCTTTTGATAGTTGCTTTAGCCTGAAAAGGTCTGCAAAATTCTACCAATTCATGAATACGGTATTGAAGGATATAATAATTCAACTTCACCTGAGTTTGTATCTTACAGGAAATAAGCAATTAAAAGCTCTGATAGCCAGAGCCTGAGTTTTGTGAAGAAAGGCAGTTGATCCCACCTTCCCAGATGTTATTTCTATTGCTTTATCTTTCACAGGGCTGCAGCAAAACCATGTCTGTTTGATGTGGTGAAATGCCATTTGCTAATTCAAAACATTTGTTTCTAGGTGCCAGGTTGACCTGTCGTCCCTCAGTAGGGAACAAACGCACAAGCTGGAGTTACAGCTGGAAGAGGGTGAGGGCCACCTGGTTCTGCTTGTCACTCTGACAGCCTCGGCCACAGTCAGTATCTCCGACCTCTCTGTCCACTCCCTGGAGGACCAGAAGGAGCGGGGGGAGATATTAAAGAGATATGTACGTATGCAAAGAGCTTCCTTCCAGCCCACGTGTGACTAGATGAGGTTGTATACAGGGTGCCCAGAAAGACAAATGGTTTTCCAGGGGAGGTATTTGAGGAGCAGAGGACAGGCTCATGTAGATGCCATGCAGCCCTGAAGGAACGTTAGCATTGCCTGCTGATGTCAATATCTTGTCATCTCCAGAATCCATTGCAGAGTACACTCTGGACTCTAAGGTTCTACCTTGTGATCTTTATCATATTGAGAATCTTTCCGTAAGGGACTCACATGTATACGTCCCTTTATCATTAAACCCTGGCTCTGTGTAACTTCTAGTAAGACTTGAAATCTAAAATGAAGTTATTGGCATAGTGAGAATTTGGGAACTAGAGGATATCCACAGAGTGAAGTTTACAGCACCATAAAATGCAATCAAAAGTAGCTCCCTTCATTCTGATTGATTCGGGGTATGAGAGTGGAATGGAGTGACAATAAATTATTGCCCTTCTCAAATTTTATGTCCTCTAAATAGTCAAATCTTCCGATCACCCAGTAACTTTCTGGGTGCATTTCCCACCATGTAGTTGTCTTGAATCAACAGAGAGGGGAGCTCTTGCTCCACCATTGTCTCTCAATGGAGGCTTGGAAAAGTAAATGCTTTGGTACCCATAAAGCTGGGGGAAGGCTTTTCCACTTCAAATCACAAAGCTTGTATTGTACAATGCTGCCAGGTGTTTAGACGGCTCCTCTAGACACTCAGCCATGAAACCAAGCTCCGACTAACAAAGAATGGCTTTTTAAAAACTATTCCTATTTGCTGACTGACATCCTTTCAATAACTGAATTTAATAAAGACGTACCTTATCAGGTTGTGCAGCTGACATGAAGTGCCCGTACGAATGCTCTACAATATTCTTCAAACAGATTAGCAGGATGTGCGCCTCAGCAAATCTATTCTGGCTATCTGCACTGAATCAGCTGTCTGCTAATGCTTGTACAACTCATCCACCAACAGTATTATCATAACAGTTTAATAGAGGTGACTTAGCAAGGCTAAATAGTGTATATTTTTAAGCCACCTAAGAGCCTAAGTTTCTGTATAGTATCTTCTAATATATTATTGCAATTATGAAAATTATTTCACATTTTGCTATTCCACCAAAAATACATTCTCTAGTCACTGGAAATGAGATTTCTGAATTAAAACTACCATAAAGGATTTAATTGGCATATTAACATAAAAATTCATCTGGGCATTAACATTCTGTAGTTACTGGATCACTATTTTAATACTATTCCATGTATAAAGATGATACTGCTGTCTACATAATTAGAAGTAATCCACCTATTATTGATTGATTTTTTTGTTGTTGTTGAATGTAGTCCCTTTTATCAGCTATTTCCATTCAGAGTGCAAATATTTGTTTCCAATAGTTTCAAAAAAGCTAGTTATTTCAATGAAATGTAAAATGTTATGTTTGACATCTCAGCTAATTCCAAGGTTATATTTGACCCAATGTATTAATCATGTTTAAAATATGCTTTTTTTGTAACCCGGAATTTCAGGCACTAGTCTCCCTCTCCCTCTTGAGACACACTTACTAAGAAGCCATAACACAGAATAGTGTATGTGCTATATTAGTGTTAACTCACAACAGTACAAAGACAAAGAGCAACATCTTGGCAGCTTTAATGTGTTTTATGCTTTGTGTATCATGAAATGAATGAATTTTATATGATGTCTAATGCACCTCTTATTTTGATGAAACATGTAAAAAACATTACTGTTCAGCAAATTATGTGTGTTTTCCTTTAAAAATCTGTGTGTGTGTGTGTGTGTGTGTGTGTGTGTGTGTGTGTGTGTGTGTTTAAAGTGGAGGTTAAACTTAAGAATTTGATTTGGTTTCAATTTGGTGCTGGTCAGGGTAGGGAAGTAATAAATTGCCCCACTCTGATATGAAACAGCCCTAGAGAATTTTGTCATTGCTCAGCACTGAGACCCCACAAATTAAACAGACATTCCTGAGTGAGCTACTATTTGATCACCACATTCTGAAAAGTTGGCTAATTCCATTTTCATGTTCTTTTCTTCTTTGGGAGGGGAGGGAAGGGGAAGGTCAGTAGGGGCAGATAGTAATGGGTAGGAGTCCAAGAGCTACTGTTTGACCTTTTCAGAACGGGTTTGCTGAACCCCTGCTCCTCCTTGTCACAGTTTAAAAACCAGAGGAGCTGGTTTAGAGAAGAAGTTGTTAGCATTCCATTTTTATTATGACATTTCACAGTCATCTGATTTAATGTCCCTTGACCGGATTGTCCACTGTGAGACGATGGGCTTGAAATGTTATTTAGAGCGTTGATAAAAGGTGAGCGGTTCTAAGATGACAGCAAGTCATAAGGCTGGTGGTGTGACATTAATTTTCTCCATAACAGAGATGGAATAAGACGTCATGGTGACAAGCTGTCAATCAGCTCTGGCCCCTCAGAGCATCTCTGTACCATAGGATGGGGTATTGCCTCTCCCGTAATAGAGCTGAACCGCAATGCTCTCTCTGACAGCTGCTGCAGCCATAGAGAAAATATATTATACAGCCTTTCATTAAAAAAATAAAGAGGAGTCCTCTCCGGAGCATTTCAATCTCTTCCCATCTACTGAGAGCTGAAAGGATTCTCAGCAAATCATGGATTCCTCTGCTATGGAAATTTCTGCCTTCAAAAGCCATCCAGGTTTTGAGACCTTCTAAAATAACCATAAATAACAACATGGGAACACTCCTTGATACAGCTTTCCATAAAATTACAGTTTTAAACTGGTATTTATTTGCTTTTACTTTGAGTTATTATTATAATCTATATGTCACTGGCCTAAACAGTAGAAATTTGAAATCAATTGTCAAATGTCAGGTGACTTGGAGAGTGAAACCTTCAAACTATAATCACCCTTCTGAATGCAAAGCAGAGCCCCAGAAATGAAGCCCCCAAGACAGTGTGGTCGTGGATGTTTGGTCAGCTTCACAGAGCAAAATGTTCTGACTGATGATATTTGTTTTAGTCACAGTGAAACTCAGTTTAAATTACTCCTGAAAATGTGACAGTGCTGAACCCTTTTCATGAAAGCATCCCTAACACATTTAGTGAGCTCCGAGTAAGTCCTTCCTCAACTTTTTCAGTGCTGTAGGACACAGCATACCCAGAAGCCTCTGGACCATAGCACTGCTGCTTAAAGTCCCCACTGATAAACCTTTGATTTGTAGGAATTTAAAAAGAGAGACAAGTGCAGTTTTAGTAAATCTAGTCAAATAGGTCTTTAAAATATTTTTTTGGTGATAAATAGTAGTTTATGATTAGAGATTAAGAAGTAATCTTCCTTACTGAGCAGTGTTTTTACAAAGTCATGCTATGAGATTACACATTTATCTGTATCTATTCCTTTTCACTGTACCAAGGTCAAGGCTTCAGTGTAAATAATGACCAGCTATCAGGGCTGATAAGGTTCACATTGAAGAAGCTTTGGCATGTGTATACCCTCACACTGGTAATAAATACACTAGGAGATTGCTGTTTGTATACCCTCACACTAGTGATTGCTTTTATTCTAGCAATATTTTGATAGATAACTTCTTATACAGAAGTATATTAAAGTGCCTTGTCATGAAACATTTTAAAGATGGTGAGAAATTGTCTTTGATTTACCCAATAGAAACACTGATCTTACCATAAGAAAAACAGTATGAAATACAAACGATATGCATATCAACGCTCCAGAGTTGTTTTCTTTACCAATTTGCTAGATTTCAGTTAATTGTGTTGGCTTTCCGAGTTTAGTTACTTCAAGTACTATGCTTAGTAAAACATCACAATCATTTTTTTTATTTTTATCATCATGCTCTTCTATCAAAAACTCCACAGTTCTACACATTATAGCAAATACAAATATAAACTTAAGAAAAATTTCTCACCACCTTTGAATTTATTTTATTATTTTGATTTGCTTTTTAAAATTACCTCCCTTAAAATTTTTATAAAACCGTGCAAGTGTTTGAATAAACTGTTAGAAAAGTCTTTAGATCATTTACCCCTTAGCTAAGCACTAAGAATAAAATGATAGAAAAATTGACATTCTTAACAACTGCCCCTATCTGAGGAGTGTTACATAAACAATCACATAGGAGTTAATATTGCTCATTATCATCTTCAAACTATCATATTTATGGATGAAAGATTTGTGAGGTCCTTAAATAGAAGATGTTGAGAGAAACCATGGAGACACTTGCTTTGTAGCTCACTGCTCATCATTTACTGAGTGTTACTTATTGATAGTAACTGTGGTATTTTTATTTCAGAAAATCACTTACCATTAATTACATGTGTGCATGGATGTGCTCATGTGCACATGCATTTGTGTGTATTCCTGACTTTGGAAATATCATTTGTATTGGAAAAGCACAAATGGCCCTTTGACCCTAAGAAAGCATCCTGAGAAAATTGAATGTTTTCTAAGAATGTTTGGCTTCTTTAGACTTCTTTTCCTAATGCCCTTGTTTGGGTTTTCCAGAGCCCACTGAAGATATTTAACAACCTAAAAGATGTGGGATTTCTCCAAGTGAGAGTCATCAGGGCTGAAGGTTTGATGGCTGCTGACGTCACAGGTAGGAGCTGATGCACTCCCCTATTGTATAGATCAAAGGTGTGCCAAGTCTGCACAATGAAATAATCCAGCCCTGAATTTTATCTCAGGAGGTCATTGAAGTCATACGTTTAAATAGAATGATTCAAAGTTGATCTCCCACAATATTTGATAATTCCCAGAGGCCTACGCAGTTCTATATTTTAAACAGTGTAATACACTAAAAGTAAATAATAAAAATCAAAATAACTTCTGAATTATTGCCCTTCCAAAATTTTTATCAATGTAGTGGGATCAACGTGTCCAGGTATTTTCATTTTGGCATATGGAAGCAACAGAGTGCCATTTTCTATCACTTATCAGCAGCTCTGTACAGAGCACAAATATGTGTAAGTCAAACACTCACAGAATATGTTGCCTCACTCACTGAAAAGTTCAGCAATGTAGTGTTCAACCATCAATATGCATGCTTCATATTGGGTTGCTGCTGTCATTCCATAGTTACACAAATCCTTCAGCATACTACAAAAGTAATTATGTATCTAAACTAAGTATATTCTTTACTTTTCACTCAGAACATAGGCGTGTAAAAACAGCAAAATGAGTCTTGTGTCTTCTCTATCTTTAGTATGGCTGTTTATTCAACATATTAACAAATGAAATAATGGTGTTTATATCATCAAGCTGTAAAGTTAATTAATTATTTTGTTTGGAGCCATGACCATTCATTTGTCATTTAATTCCATAATAATTTGAGAGATGTTCATACCACCCATTGAATTATCTATCTAAAATTGGGTGGCAAGATAGGATTGAATTTCCAGTTCCATGGAAATATCACCATGCTAGGAAACATTGGGTTATTATTTGTAAAAATAAGCATATCATTCTAAATGTTAAGTAAGATGGTCCTGATAAAGTTATAGACTTATTTGAATAAAATACTATCCTTTTCTTAGCATTCAATGGTCTGCAAATCACTATGCTTCTTTTTAATTCATCCAGCAGTATTGAGAACAGATTAAAAGATAATTCCCTTCAAAATTAAATAGCAGAGGTTTGCTCCAAAATAGCAATATTTAAATTTTTCATATTTCAAGTGAGTATATTATATGACAGATACAAAAATGTCAGGGATTTATAATTTCTTTGAAAAGATAATCATTCACTCTTTTGTAACTGAAGATAATAACACTTTAAACTATGTATATGGATACCCAAGAATAGTGGGGCAAAGGATAGCTGTAATCTTTTAATGTGAGCTACCTTAGAATTTAGTGGTTAAAAAAAAAACTTGTGAATAGTGACTTTATTCATTTTCTTTCTTAAGGACTTGGTTTCTTGTATAGTTATCAGTGAATTAATCTGTGTACAATAATTTCTTGTGGAAAAATTCACATACCTGTTATTTCAAATGCTTAGCTACCTGCCATTATTCAAGCTGAATGCAATTGTATAAGTTTGTCTCCTCTTGGAAAGAAGCTGTCATCGATTTTAAAACTTCATGAATATGCAAACTAGGTTAACCTACTTGGCCTGTATGCCACTATGGAAGTTAAAGTACATGTTCTTTCAAAGTTGGAAAAAATAGAGATATTTCTTTCCTAATGGTTCTATGTAAATCAATGTGAATAACAATAGCCTTTCTGCTGGAGATTCAATGAGATATAATTTTTATTTGATAAAGTGAACATTAATTTGGGGAATCCTGAATAACTGAATCTCAATTTTTCCCTTCAGTTTTATGGATATAAATCTAATGATTCCTCATTCTATGCTGACCTTATAATCTAATGGGCTCAGGACTGAACAAGAGAGATGTTGAACTATTCAAGGCCAAGTGGGTAATTTTGTCTTTGACCTTGCTCACCCTTGGACTTTCTGTGGTTTTTATGACATTTGTGATGGTGGCAAAAATTACTGGCCTAGTGCTTAATGTCTAAATATACTATTAAGCAATACTACTTATGAAAGCATAAATAATTTAGGGCACACATAGGTTCTTCATGTGACTTTTATTCATAGAACTTTGAAAAGTTGATGTCCATCTTAATGGTTAATGACAGTCAAGCTCTGCCTAATGTGAAGCAAAAGTGAAAAGACAGGGGACTAAGTGGTTCATTCTGTATTCAAGTCTTCAAATAAGAATACATCCAGAGCAAGTTCTCAACCTGCCTAATGCTGTGACCCTTCAATACATGCAGTTCCTCATGTTGTGGTGACCCCCAACCAGAAAATTATTTTTGTTGCTACTTCCTAACTATAATTTTGTTACTCTTATGAATTGTAATATAAATGTTTTTGGAGATAGAAGGTTGCCAAAGGGGTTCTGACCCATAGGTTGAGAACCACTGATCTAGAGACTTGTAGCCAGATAAAGGGGATTTTAAAATCATGAGTGATTCTCTATGCTACTTTCTGACCTGGTACAAATGAAGCTATCGTTAGAAGGTATTTGGCTTCAGAATACTTCTTTTCTACAGAAATCTAACAAGATAAACTTACACTTGACCAACTTTCATATATTTCTCAAATGCTTTTAATCTTTGCAACATAAGGTCACATAATGTAAGCATGATTTTTAATTAATATTCCAACATTAAATGAGCACAGGAGAAATTCTGTAACTTTTAAGTAGCCATCAATCTTGCTGCAGTTACAAAGAATTTTTCCTTTCAAAATGTAAAATTTTTCTTTTGTTACAACACATTCATTGAGAAACATTGTGATACTGTGTTAACTCTGTGTGAATAAAGAGCAATTGAAACTCTTTGAATGAGTGAGTATAAAGCACAAATTACTTTTTAATGAAACCCTCAATTCTTTCCCTTGCCACAAAAAGCCTCTAGCCTTGTTCGGCTGAACACTACTACAGTAGGTCACTTCAGTTAAGCCCCTAATAAACTATTGATAGTCAAGGGTAGTTTTTTTCTTCGGTCTCAATAGGCCAGTGTTGGACAGTGCACTTCAAATCATTAAGGTTAATACAGATTTTAAAAAGAGATTAACTCTGGTGGTTGAGGCCTCAATTTACAACTCCTACACATATGCGCACATTGGGCACAGCACAAGAGTGGATTGAAATTTCAGTCAAATTGTGGACAGCCTTTCACAGCCTGAGAAAGTGGCTCTAGGGTTTGAAGACTTGGTGCACTAAATTCTTCCAAAGGAAAAAGTTTGAGTAACTGAGAAATACTTCTAAGTACAGCTTACTCACCTTTGACTACCCAATGAGAGGTTACTGCTTCTTTGTGCAGTCAAAGTCAAAGCTAGAGGCTCCTGCCCTGTTCTCTGGGAAAATTCTTTCCAACATGAAATCACATGTGCCCTAAAACTGACAAGACTTTGAGAACAGAAAGACCAACTGGAGAGAGAGGGGGGAACAGGGAGAGAGAGAGAGGAAATGAAATGCTTCAGGTTTTGTCCTTTTCTTGCCCCCGTTTGTCCTTAAGTAGGGTTTGATTTCTGCTTGTAACAGTGCATTTCAAGTCTTCTGTATTGAGTGAGGCTTTCACAGCAGAGTATTTAAACCTGGGAGATGAGTTCTCTCAAGTTCCAAAAGAAAGAGAGGGCTCCCCTTCCTCAGCCCCTCCTCCCACTTCCCTCCAGTGTGTGAGTCCTCTCAGCTCCTTTCTCAGCTTTCCCCTGGGTTGTGGTGGCTCCTAGCCCCTCATCCTCATTTTTCCAGCGTTGTAGAGTTTTTTTGTTTGCATGTTTCTTGTTTTTCCCCTGAGGAGGAGGTCATAACCTCTCCAGGGAGTCCAGCCCCTCAGAACAGCAATAGGAGAACTGGGAAACCTTCAAAAGATGTGTTGCCTTGCCACTGAGTTAGAAAGTCCTAGCCCTGGTAAACTGGTTTTGCAAATGAATGTGGTATCTCTTGCAGGAAGTAAAAGAGGGAGACAAGAAGGGAGATTTATGAGTAATAATCACTGAAATTGTCCCATTAAATGAGCACTTTCCCCCAAACGAAGCTATGAATAAAGACTTGTAGCATGTCAGCCCCATAGTCTAGAAGCAACTAGTTATTAAAGAGAAATGTTTTCTGCACCCATTATTTGCATAGACTTTTTCCATGTTTTCCTTTTGGAAAACTGTCTTCATTGTTGGAAAATATTTAAGTAACAAAACAGCAGAAAAAGACATGCTACAGTTTTTTTTTTTTCTATCAGCTTCTGTGATGAGAGTTTTATTATCTTACAAAATAACAGTGAGCAGCTCAGACTCATTAGCAGAGCTAAATTTAAGCCCCATTTGACAGGCTGCCTAGAAAACATTTTGTTTTGCTGTCTATGGGCTTTAATTAAGATGTGTTCAATTTCAGTCCTCTTCAGTCTAGCCCCCACCCCCAACTTGCTGTGTCACAGACCGGCGATCAGACACTTTTAGATGGTCCGGCCCATGACTTTGACCTTCTGCGCAGTCTCTCGTTCCCTGGGGAACCGTTCAACTCATGAGGTCTGATTTCACACTTCCAGGATGCCTCAGCGCTCTTAACAATGACAGGGAGACAAAGCCCTTTAGAGCAGGCCGCATGGGGACTTGTTTAAATTGGAAACCAGAGAGGAGTCAAGGAACAAGGTTAGGGGCTACAGAATAGTGCTTTTAATAAAGAGCTCACAGCTCTGGCTCGGCTCAAAGAGGTCTACCTCTGTACAATTAATTGAGCCATTTATCTGGAGCATCTTAGGCCTCTACTTTCTCACAGAATTGCGTGGTAAATATCAGCTAAGAAGCAAATGAGATATGCATGAAATGAATTTTAACACTTTGATTACTGTGCCTCCAGTCTTCATTAAAAGTAAATTTATTTGTATTTCTGACCTCATTATCAGAAGGCTGCCTGAATTTTTATTGGTTCCTGTGATTTCCATCTTGAGTATGTCATGAAGATATATTTTATACAGAGATTGGGATTTATTATTCTTGATATTTTCCCTGAACATTATGGGTTTATTCAGAAAAAGAAAATGAAAAGGCAGCTGTAGAGAAGAAAGAAAGTTGGTTCCTGGAAAGGATCAT